GTGCACAGGTGTGATTTATCAATAAAATCTGCTTGTTTCTAAGGTATGGTAAATCTAAAATATCTTTTGCACAGCCAAATCTTTAGTTCCCACACAATATTTGATCAATTAGACCCCAGGGGAGAAAAGTCCTTGTTTGTCTTTCTTTGAAAACTCACCCTCAACAGATATGTTTTTCACCTGGCAGTTGTTACAGACCATGGTGAACAGCTGACCACACCTCCCCTGAGTGGTTGGAAAGAAAACAACCTGCAACCCATGCAAAAAAGGTCATGTAAAACAAAAGGTGCCCCTTTGCATTCAGGTTCTGATATATGCTGTTTATGCAATTATCGAAAACAAGTAAGTTTACTAAAGTCTCTTTATATTTCAAATACAGAGCAAGCGCACGGTGGGTTGTCCCCAAATACAAAGCAGGCAAACTTAAAACATGGTAAACAAACTGCTCTTATTTTAATGTACAAATTCAGAGAGAAATGCTACCTCCAACCGTGTGGTTTCTCCCGGCTGCAGGGTAAACAAAGAGGGGCCCACTGCAAAGGGGGGCTGCTCAGAATAATATGTTGTTGCCAGGGACTAAAAAAGAAAAAAAAATATGTTACATTCATTTACCCATATTAATAAAATCGAGAAAAAAAACAACCTTTAATAAGATAATTATTTATTGTAGCAACAGAAATAAATCTATCCTTAATTTGAGTAGTGAAGAGAGGAAACCCAGATTATCTAATATTGCTTTTGTTTCCACATTTTTTTACACCCTCAGCAAATTCAATGAAATAAATCTAACTGAGCTTTCTTTAATTAAAAATCTCAATCAAGTGAGCATGTTTTAATCAATAATCAAGTCCTTCCATGTTTTAATGGGGAGTAATCATCGTGTGGTCTAATAAACATGTACATTTTTTAAACAATTATCTAAAATGGAAAAGGCAGGAGTAACTCTAATCCGAATTAGGCAGATTTATCAGTGAGTCCTGAGGAGAATTTCTATCTCTGTTGTCGTATCAGACGTGTTCTCTAATTTGGAAGCAGGACCTTACAGTGCTTACAGTTTTCTACCTTCTGCTACTTAAAACCTGAATGATGTCTCCAAATACATGCATGGAAACATACGCCTGGAAAGGTCATTTAGGGACAAGCTGTGTCCCAAAGGCACAGAGAACAACTACTGTAGCTGCCAAAGCTGGAGAATTACCACTGTTCCCAACAAAACTAACCAGTAAGTTAAACAGATTAGCTTTTACAAAGATTTGGCTTTATTTTTTTATACTTGAATGTTGCAGCTCACTTTATTGCATTTGTACATTTAAAAGTTATGCTTACTTTTAGCTTATATAGTTTTTTTTTTACTCCTATCACTGCTGATATAGTGGAAATTTCACCACTAAAAGACTAAATATGGGGTCCTAAGGCTGTAACCCAGCGAGCAAAATTGGTTGAAAAGACAATAAAAAAAACCCACATGGTTTATATCCAAATGACCTTTAGCTGAAAAGTGAAGTAAAAAGCTGCAATATTGAGATTGTTGAAAAGACATTGTAAATTGGGTTTTCAACTTTTTTTCAGCATGTATTATTGGTTTTAAGTGGGAAAAATCAGACCGACCAAACACAGCCCTATTTTCAACAACTACCGGTATTTCTGTACTAAATAAAGACTGATTATGATGGACCAGATTTAGCCTAAAAGACCAACTTCTAAATGAAATCTGGTTTCTGGGGAGCAAAGACAAAACTAAAACCCACACCTCACAGAAAAGTTTTATTTCACCTTTTGATAATTTAACTACAAGTAAACCACAACAACAAAAAAATAAGAGTAAATAGTTTCAGTTATACAAATTTTACCCTGAGGTTTGAGGCTGGCCATTGGTCCTTGGCAATGATGCAAAAATCCCCAGGACTGAGTCCAACATTTTGGCAGCGGAGCTCAACAATTTTTACCCCTCCAACCAGACAGTGTCCGCAGTCCACAACTCTGGGCACTGCAAAACAGATAGGATACGGTGTTTGCAAGCTTTGGTAGTTGAAATAACCTTGGATGAGTATAGTGATGCTTACAGGTGAGTACAGGAGGAGGCCTATGTGCCTTGATTGGCACTTTTAAAGGCTGCTCAGAATCAGTTTCCACCATTATAAAATCCTCATAGTCCCCCAAGGAGTCTGGAGTAAAGCGCAGTGTATATTTACAGCTCAACCCTGGAGCAATGATGCCTCCATCACTGGGGAATCTTCCTGCAAACACACGCTCTGTACTTAAATAACAGTTTATTCAGTTGGGAGCAACTGAAGCTTGAAATCATTTGGTATTTATAACAGAGGTATATGGCTAGATTAACTCACAGTCCAGCTTCTATACCAAAGTGGAGAGCTAACAGATATGAACATCATTTTAGGACTAGATGTTGCCCAACTGCAACCTTAAAGTGACTCACCCCCGTTGATAGAGAAGTATGAAGTGGTAGGAGGGATGACTCTGACATGGCGGCTTGTGGAAGTCACGTTTTGCAGCTTCAGAGTAGACTGATGCAAAATGGGAATATGTTACTCATCATTTTCCATTTTCTTCTAGATTCTGACTGGTCTTAGTCACCTCAACATACCTCATAGACCTGTCCAAGGCTGTATTCAGTAAAAGAAATCACTGATGGCTTTGCCTGGAAAACTGGGGCAGGCGCATCGCCGGAGCTTTGAGAAGGTATAAAAAAGAAGAGCAAAAGCAGAATTAAACAGCAAATTTTTACCCCAGATACGAAGTTAGAGTTTATCGTTAGATATTTACTAATCAGAACTTTTTGACCTGCTGATAAGGATCTTTGTCAACACTAAATACTGAACTCTTAACATAAGAAGAAACAAAAAGACAGCCTTTACATCCAGAATGAGCATCTCAAATAGTTTTGAGTTTAATTACATTTGTCAATTTTAGAGCATTTGTGCTGCGACAATTAATGGCTGAAAAGTTTTGGATGTAAAACCATGCTTAATTAGTCTTCTTGTTATCTTATCTGTACAGAATAATATATAATGTAATAGAAAAGTCAGTTAAATAAATTATTACGGCTGAAACAATGAATCTTATTAATCATGCTTAATCGATTATTGAAATTATCGTCAACTAATTTAGTAATTCAGTAATCATTAAGCAGGGTATAGAGACTGTAAAACCTGCCTTTATCTGAGAGAGCAACCCACTTAGAGCATTTATTATACCAAAATTGTAAAAACTATACAAAAACATTTTGCATATAAGATTAAAAAAAAAAATAGATTTCGTCTGTCAATATGCTCTATCCAGAACTTCTCAAGTGGAAAACTTTTAGATTCAACTGCCGGTAGTTTAATTTAGTAAAAAATTTACTTTAGGGAATGTTTTGCTACCCGATTATTAATTGATAAATCAAAAAAAGAATTGACAGATTAATCAATTTGCAAAAAGATAGCTAGTTGCAGCTTTATAAATAATCATTAGTTCTTTGGTTCCTGGGTGTGCTCTGAAAATCAGTTTATGTTCTCAGTACTTTTATTATCAAGGGATAAATATGTTTAAATATTTGCTAATAATTGCCACCAAAGTAAGATTTAAATTATATTTTTCTTAACAGGCAGATAAAATATTCCTAGATTAAAGGTAACATATTTTCCCACCAAAAACATCAAACACAGAATTCTTCCCTTTTTGAAAATCTCACATCTGCAGCCTGAACAAAATAAAAACACAGCTTCCTTGTGATCAAAACATTCTAGGTTTTTCCATGAAGCTTGTATCCTCTCCTCATGCATGCATAGGTTCTGTGTGGACTCTGTCCTTCTCCCACAGTCCGGAAAGATCCTCCTAAATTGCCCTTAAAACTGTGAAAGTGTCTAAGCAAGGGTATTTGCCCTGTGTGCCTCCATCTGTCCATCTGTCTTAGATGCTTTGACCTTTTGTCCATCTACCACTAGAGATAGCCAGGAGCACTCTACTCTGCATTGATAAGCATAGTTTGTAGAGATGAGTGTAAAGAAACTGTACACTTGATGAATATAATGTTGCTGCCGAATGGATTGGAAGTGGTAAAAGAGATGGATGATGATATGAAACCCAGTGTGGTTTTTACCCCCTCTATGCTTCAGACTCTGTGGTCACTTTGTAGAGCATAAGGTTTCAGCTTACATACACCTGTTGAGGTACAGTGGCTGTTCAACTGTTTACTCTGAGCTAAAAGGACACGCATGTTTCATGTCAATATTGATCAGGGGCTTCCATAGTTCACTGTAATAAATTGTTTGCCAAATGTTGTGCACCTGAGTAAAATGTAAAATCTAGATTTCTTTTCAATGTGAACTTTTTCTAATACCTTTGAATCTCTGAGCTTCTCCCATCATGTTCCTTCTTTGCTTTGGCTTTGGGTGAGATATGCAATGTTCCTCTCTGCTGTGCATTGGAGGGATTTCTCAAAAAACTTTTTTGTTTAAAACTCTGAAGTTTCTCCCAGTCCTCTGCCTGGTCCTTGGCACTAGACTGTCCCATCCACTTTGGCCTGGGTTTGGTCTGTTAGGAACAAATCAAACATATTGTGCCTTAAGCTTCTTTTTGACATTTTGTCAAATTAAAACCATGGAATAGTTTAAAGATATACTCATGGGAAAAAAGTATTCAACTGTTCCCCCTAGTTAAACAAACGGAGATTGATGGATTTCACTAAGTCGGCACATTTATTCATAGAGAACAGTTCATCATACAGCCCTTATGGCACAGCATTCTGCCCTGTTCTGCATGACCACCATTCGTTCCCCCTTACTTACAACAATAGAAAAGCAGTCAGAGTCAAAACACATTACAGACACTTTGGTTAACAGTAACATGTTATGAATAAACCATGAGAAAGAATCTGGTTTGTTATGGGAAGAAGCTATGTCTGGTCAACAAACACCATCCTGCCGAGAATTGTGTGGCCTTCAAGGTGAAACAGACTGAGTAAATAGGATAAATTAAAATATAATAGAAGAGGAATCAAAATTTTCCCACAACAGTGATAGACAAAAATAAAACATAATCACAATAATGTAATGTATAACAAAAATAAAAAGGGTTACCTCTTTATTGGTTCTCTTTATTTGTTGTGCATCTGAACTTGATTCAAATGCAAGCCTTTCATCCAACTCATCTATTTCCACAATTTTCTTTGGAGAATTCTTTAGTGTATTTCTATCATGCTGAGACTCCCGGTATAAGTGCATCCCTGTGCATGATGTAAGGGGGATTAACAAAACTGTTTGTTACTGTTGAAGAAATTTTAAGGTAAAGGTAGTCAACCTATCAATAAGATCCTAAATGTCACTGGCATCACATACCTGCAGCTGGTTCTCTAGCTTGTGGTTTCTGGGTATCTAAGTAGTCTCCAGGCGAGATCAGGTTGTTTCTTTTGAAAAGATCATCATCAACACACCAGCAGTAGGTGGATTTAGCTGAAAGTAAACACCAAAAGCAAGAGCCATTTTAATATAATTACGGATATACCGTTTCTTGAACACATTTTTTTTTAAAACAAGCTGTGTGTTCATGGTTCATGGTGTCCTTCTGCAAGGTGAACAATACTCCTATTCAAGGGTCTTCTATTTTACCTACAGCCGTCTTTTCTGACCAGATTCCAAACAACTTTTAAACAAAAGCATCACCATAGCATGATTCTGACACGATCATACATAACATTTATAGTTATTTACTCTATATTCAGGTTATAAATTAATCAAGCATTCATCCATCCATCCATCCATTTTCTGACACGCTTTATCCCAAGTGGGGTCACGAGGGGTACTGGTGTCTATCTCCAGTTGTCTACAATTGAGAGGCAGGGTACAGCGTGGACAGGTTGCCATTCCATCGCAGGGCAACACAGAGACAAACCACCTTTCACACACACACCTAAGGAGAATTTAGAGAAGCCAATTAACCTAACAGTCATGTTTTTGGACTGTGGGGGGAAGCCATAGTACCCGGAGAGAACCCACACATGTTCAGGGAGAACATGCAAGCCTCCAGACTGGGAATTGAACCTGCGACCTTCTTGCTGCAAGGCAAGAAGCAGCAGAGCTACCCACTGTCCCACTGTGCAGCCATAATCAAGAATTAAAATTCAGTGGAGCTAAAATGAAAAAACAAAAAAACAGAATGTCTAAAAAATTTGATTTGTATGACATAATATTTTGAAGACTATACATATAATTTACCTATAGGTTGATGATCACAAGCATCTTTAAAGTCTGCCTTCAACCTCTCACATTCCAGGCTTTCTTTGGCTGCAGCTCGGGCTCTGGCCTGAGCCATGTGAGTCTTCACCAGCTCAGCCTCTTTTAGACGCTCCTCATATTCACAACGAGTCTATAATCAATAAGAGTAAATTAAAATAGGTAGGTAGGTAGGTAGGTAGGAAGGAAGGAAGGCAGGCAGGCAGGCAGGCAGGCAGGCAGGCAGGCAGGCAGGCAGGCAGGAAGGAAGGAAGGAAGGAAGGAAGGAAGGAAGGAAGGAAGGAAGGAAGGAAGGAAGGAAGGAAGATTAGAGAAATCTTTCATTCTGTCATACTCCTTCTAATAACAGCTGTCTGCTTACCTCCCAGAGCCTTTTAACATATGTATCATGATAACTGCTTCTGTCTGCGTTTGTTTGGATGCGGTTGAAGGGCAGCGTCTTCCCCATGTCCTTACTGTAAACTTCCTTGAAAACGCTTGCTAATACATGAGAAATGTCCTAGAATCAAGAATGAGGAAAATTTTCATATAGAAACTCAAGGATTTCTCACACCTCTAAATTAAAACGCGTTTATCTTACTTGTGATGTTCCTGCCGCAGGTCTGTAACTCTCCACACAGGGCTCAACAAATTCATTTTCCGACATGTTTCCTTTGTGAAAGTCACACACACGGAACCTTTCGTGACCACATCACAAAGAAAAGAATAGCATATGTATGAGATTTAACACCAAATATTTTCACCAAATCCCGCTGAGCTTGTCGGTAAAGTTTGTGGTTGCCTGGCAACAACAGGTGGTCGCAACGGATATGAAAATACCGCGATTGTGATGGTAGATTTAAAAAAGACCTTTGACAACAGATAAATAAAGATATATGACATCACCAGGAAATATAAATATTTGTACGCATGAGGTTCCCCAGTAGGCTAACAGCATGACGTCTGTAACAAAGCAGGTAAACAGAGCTACCGGTATCATAAATCATAAACAAGACAATTCAATTCAGTTTTTTTATATAGCGCCATTTCAGAACACATCTTACCTTTAAGGCACTTTAAAGAGACAGTTCAACTAGATAAATACAGCCAGATTGGTTCAATTTTTTTTTTTTTAGAAAAGATTTATAGAAGAAAAAATAATAAAAATGAAAAAACGAAAAAAACAACAACGAAACAAATACACAAACAATAAATCTCTATGGATAGAGGACAAAGTGGGTAGCACTGCTTCCTGGAAGCAAGAAGGTTCCGAGTTCAATTCCCGGTCCGGGGTCTTTCTGCATGGAGTTTGCATGTTCTCCCTGTGCATGCGTGGGTTCTCTCTGGGTACTCTGGCTTCCTCCCACAGTCCAAAAACATGACTGTTAATTGGCATATCTAAATTGCCCTTTTGTGTGAGTGTACCTCTATGTGTGCATAGTTGTGTCTCTGTGTTGCCTAGGCTATACCCTTCCTTTCATCTAAAGACTCCTGGAAATAGGCATCCTCCTATGGCCTCCTCCAAGTCTCCTGATGTATTGGCTGGTTTTCTCCCTACAGCAAACCTTCTTGCCACAGCCCGCATTGATGTACCATCCTGGATGACCTGCAATACCTGAACTGTGTGGGTTGTTTAGTCCGTCTCATGCTGCCGTGAGTATAAAAGTACCACCACCATTCAGAAGTGACCAAAATAGCCTGAAAGCATATATACTGAGAAGTGGTATGTGATCCCCACCTGCAGAACCACTCCTTTATTGAGTGTGTCTTGCTGATTGCCAATAATTTCCACCTGATGAATATTCAATTTGCACAACAGTATGTGCAAATCGTTGTTGCTTGCTAAGTGGACAGTTTGATTTCACAGAACTTTTATTAAATAACAGTTATATTGTTCTGTATGCTTCCGTCTCCTTGAAACCCAGTGGGGATCGGCTGATGGCCGCTCACACTGAGCCTGTTTCTGCTGGAGGTTTCTTCAAAGTAAAAGGGAGTTTTCCCTCTCAACTGTCGCTACTGTACATGCATGCTTGGTGTAAAGGGGTTGCTTTCGAGTCAATGAGTCATTGCAATCAATTTGTTTTTCCTTAGGTAGAAAACTTTGAGCAAGTCTGACTGCATGTATGATCTGCTTAAATTGTCTCTGTTGACGCTATATAAATAAACAGAGTTGAATGGGCTCTATGCACATCTCCACTACTTCCTAAGCTTAACACAGCTCTTTTGTATCCTGTCTTTCATTACTGGATGAACTGATTAATCCATATATGTCCAGCAATGGTTACTGAGGTCAGACAAACCTGACCATCTAGTAGAAAAAGACAGGAAATAAAAGAGCTGCCTTAAGTTAAGGAAGTAGTGGAGTTGTGCATAGAGCCATTGAATTGCAATTAAATTGTTGTTTACATGTTCCCTTTATCTTTTGAGCAGTATATTTGGACTAGACACTTCAGCTGCCTTGCCTACTATTGGTGGTCAGAGAGCTGATTGCATGGCAGCTTTTCTTATATCAGTCTGCCCCAGGGCAACTGTGGCTACAGTATAATTTAGTTTACCAACATCAGCGTTTGTATAGGTGACTGACTCAATGTTGCGTAAAGCTCCATTAATTTGATAAAGTGTGGGAAGTTGATAAATGCAGAGAAGGGAAATGTTCAGAATACATTAGGATCTAGATAGACACTTCAAAAATGGACAAATAAGTTATCTTTTATAGATCCAGATTTAAATATAAAAAATAAGAGTACGGATAAATGGGTAGTGTGAAAAAGTATAAAATAGATTCATTACTGGACAAAAGTTAAGAGCAACCATAATAATCATAATGATAGAATGTAGGATAGAAAAGCACAAAATTCTTAAAATTTATATGAGCACCTGCCGTGATTATGAATAGCTTAAACAGCAATAATAATAAATAAATAAAAGTATGTATAAATAAAAGTAAAATATTAAATTATAATAGCTAACTCACACTTCATACCTGTGTCTTTATCTTTCTTTTAAAATCATCTGAACTCTTCGTTGCCTTCAGGTATTCTTTAAAAATGTGCCACAGCTGAAGGCTGTGTAATATAACGTGATAATTGTGATATGGCCAAGGTTTTAACATTCTTTTTTTTTTCCACGAGTGTGTTAGCTTCCCCTCTCTTCTAAAAGGCCTCCTCAGTTCTGACTGGCTGACCAGGAATTTTGGGCTAGCAAAGCTCTTTTCACTATACTACTTTAAGGACCAAAAATAACCACACTGTGTACAGAGAAAATAAATAGTTAGAGGAGCCGAATGGTACTGTAAGTACTGAATTGGAAAAAACAAAACAAAACAATACACAGCAGGCAAAAGGTGTGGTTCCAACACATTTTATATCTTGTTACATCTAAACAAATCCATCCCACATGTTGATTAGGTGGAGAAACCACTACACAGGCGTGATCCAAATAAATCAGTAGGCTTTTGTATCAAATATGAGTTCTGGACAGAACTTCCAGTTTGAAACCTTAGACTAAAACAATAAATGCTCTATCTACCGTATAAGAATCTCTTTCTTCTTGTATTTGAACGCTTTGATTTATTTTTAAACATTGTGGATTAAATGAGTCATGCAAACTGTCTGTCACACATTCCCTACATGGTCTCATGCAAAAAGTTGGGTCATTTCTGAAAAGAGTTTGGTTTATCGCTGACAAACACACAGCATAGTCAACCACTCTTGTTGCATAGCCCAAGATTCCTGAGGAACCCAAAACAAAGTATTTGATTGTGATTATCAGCTCATGTGCTACTGAAGTGGGTGTCTCAAAGGGGGAATTGTTAAGCATATTTTCCCTGCTTCATGGTTTGCCAGACACTTTTTTGAAGACATGAAGAAACAGATAATCAAAAGGCCATAAACCTTTTTCATGAACAACATGTGGGTTTACCTCACTATGAAGGCATAAGATTCCAGACATTTTAAAGCATTGCTGATATGAATGGCTTGTTGTTATGCAAAAGAGGTGTGAGGTGGAAGTACACGACTAACAAGAAAAAGGCCCTTCTGTAATAGTGCTTTAAGCAACACTTAAAATGAATCAGTACAACCACAAGTGGCCATAGAAAAAAAACAAAACATGGCATTATTTGAACTTAATGAAAATACTAATTTGACACTAACTTAATATAATTTTTGCTGTATTTTTAACTTCCTCTTATTAGGCTGTGATGATAAAATTCCTTCGGAGGGTGTAGCTTACATTGGAGAGCATGAAGGAAATTATAAGTGAGCTAAGAGACTGTGGAAGACTTGTCAAACTGGTGCCTCAGTGGGTGTGGAGTATCAGGGCTGGGGCTAGTACCAAGTGTGAGCTGTGTGGGCTGGCTCAGAGCAGGAAACAGCAGATTCCCCTCAAAGACGAAGCAAACTGTTGGAATATTTCCGTTAAAACAGACAGACCCGTGTTGAGACAAACAGGAGTTTCTCTGCTGTGGATAGTGATTTATTTTGGTCTAAACTTACAATGGATCCCAATGGAAAAGCTGGGAAACATGGTGAGTTTGAAAAAAAAAGCATCATTAAGCCACGGTCTGTTAAAATAGTATATTTTTAATCAATGATTTTAAGTGCAGATTCTGTATTTGTTAAGTTAAAAGAAAAATAGTTCCTTGTATTTGTTGTCCCCATCATTATTGAAAGAAATGACTGGTTTCAATTCAATTCAATTTTCAGTGCCCTGAAATTGAAGAATCTATGCTTTTCTGAGATTCATTTTCTGCTTCTTCTCCATTCCATATCTTTCCAAAGCAACCTTTTTGTTAGAATATGCGAGTGAAAATAATTTTAGTAAAGTTTGTAAATATGTTACAAATCATTGTAAAAATGGAGAAACAGTATTAATCCTGTAGGTACACTGAGCTTGTGTAAGACATTAAAAGCAAACTTACGTATATAAGGCCACCAGGGGGCCTCAAAAATAAAACATCTGTATTACTCAAAGGATAAGAGCAGTTGTTTGAATATGTTCCTAATTTGCTTAGTCTGTATTATCCAAGCTCCAAAAACTAAAACAGGTTTTATAAAACTTCTCTTAAAATAATAATAATTACTATGTATATAAATCAGATGGCTTGACTTAACATATTTAAGGTTGATTTTTTTTTCATAAACTCTGTTATTGTATGATATATAAATGCGGATATATATCAGCATAACTTATTTATATTGAAGAATAATGTTCAGAGTTTGTGTTATTTAATCCACAGAAGTCGTCCCAAATCAAATTAACTTCAAGAATCTCACAAATTTATCCTTTTTAGTATTTTGGATATTTTTCTAAAAAAAATTATTCTCACACTAAACAAATAAAAGCGATTTATAAGGTAAACCAAAGAGATTTGAATTCTAGACCCAAAGATGCAGTCCTGGGACTGATGGGACCATTTGAATACATTTTTAGCCTTATAAAATGCAACAGTATAAAATTATATTTAAACCTAAAACACATTAGTAGCTATAAATCTATGGATATGATCTTAAAAACCTTACTTATATAAGTATAACAGTTATAACTGCTTTTCAAGTTGATTATATCATTGTAGACACCTTTGGTGTATTAAGAATTATATGATAGCCTATTGTCTGATCATTAACTCAATTACGCAGAACACAATGTGGAAAGAAAATTTCTGTGTAGCAGCTTGCATCTGTTGTGTTTTGTAATTGTGGAGGTACTATGGTCAAGATTTAGTTGATGTTGAGCTTTTAGGCTTCATACATTAGTCATGTTTGTCCTTTATTTTCCTTAATTCAGTTATATCTTACTTTACGCAACAAAATAAAACGCACTAAATTGAAAATGACTTACAAATTTGACTCTTCTAAATCTCAATTAGGACAGTGTCTGAATAATGACATGTCTCCTGCATATGGTACAGTTGTGCTTAAAAGGTTACATACCCTTCAATTAATGACAGAAAAAAATCAAGTGTGAGTAAAATAAATCGAAATGAACAAAACTAATAACAAATAAAAATATGAATAAAAAGGAGCTTTGTTAGCAACACAGGGAGCAATTAGATCCCTGATAAAAGATGGAGTTGTGTTATTTAGGGCTTATTATCAGAGGGAGGTTTAAACTCTTTTCTGGATTTAGCAGGAAGCAAATCATGAGAAGCTGAAATTGAAGAAATATGATCTTTTTAATTTTCTTTATAACTCTGGCAGCAGGATCAGCTGAAAGCTTTTAACAACAGTAAATGGACTGAGTTACAATAGTCCAGCCTTAAAGTAACAAATGCATTGACTAGTTTCTCAGCATCACCCCAGAACAAGATATTTCCATCCATCCACCCATCCATTTTCCCTCACACTTTATCACTGCTGGGGTCGCGTGGGGTGCTGGTGCCAATCTCCACCTGTCAATGGGTGAGAGGAGGGTTACAGCCTGGACAGGTCATCAGGACAGGCCTGTTAGGTTTATTGGTTTGGACTGTGAGAGGAGGTGGGAGTACCAGGAGAGAATCCACACATGCACAGGGAGAACATGCAAACTCCATGCAGAAAGACCCAGGGCTGGGAATCGAACCAGGAACCTTCATGCTACAAGGCAGCAGTCCTACCCACTGCCTCACTGTTATTTCCATTTCCTGATTTTACCCACATCACAATCCCATTGTAATAACAATACTATATTTATTTAATAAATAATTGAAAAGATATAATTGAAAGACCATCAAAGCTTGTATTCATGTATTCGTATTATATTTTTGTTGACTTATATGCTTTCTTGGAAAAAGTACATAGGACAACATCATCACAAACCAAACTAAAATACATGTTAGGTTAGACCCACAAGGTGGCGCCATTCTAAATCTACATGGGGGAATGTGATTAAAAAAACATTTATGCTGTCTATGGCTTGATTTTGTCAACGTTTTGAGAGGAAAGAAAAAATTACACTCACCTTATTTTATTAAAATTATTTTAAGGGTTTTGATTTATCTATGGAGGAAATCTCTGATGTAAAGAAAATAAAAACACTTCCTAGAGAGTAGAAGTTAAGAAAGAACCAGCCCTCTTGCTTTCAGAGGTGTAGAGTCAAATGTCTCTTTAGGAATTAAAAATAAATAAATAAATATATATTTTTTTCATCACTTTAAAAAAACAAACATTCCCCAGTTATATGACTATCATAACATGGCAATACACGCACAGACCCGCCCCCGCGAGAAAACAGGGGGAAAAAAAAAAAACTTTGGCTCCTTGCTTCTTCACACCGAGTGGCCTTTCACTCCACGATGTCTTGCTTCTGTTCACGCCCGATCAGGACGGAACTGGAGAAGCATTTGTCTCGGGAGAACTTGAAAAAAGTAGAGCAGGAAAATGGGAAACGCCTGGGTAAGTGCGCTTTTATTAAAGATCCATCTGACGCAACAAAGCGCAGACTGCGCCGCGCGCTGCTGAAAACATAAACACAACCCGATCCCACTCTAAAGCTGAGTTTGAAGAACTTGGATTGTCTATTTTGTTCTTATCAGTAACCAACTGTGACCACATCTGAGTTTGTTATGTTGACCTAACGCACATGTATGCAAATTGCCTTCATTGCCTGGAGCGGTGCATTTTTGCCTCTCATAGCAGACCAACCTACACATGACATAGGCTACTGCTGCTGTCTCAGTTTAGTGTCCCAATCCTATGTGTTGTTGCCATTACCTCCACCTTACTTTTTTTCAACTTACATAGATGTTTGACGACTTTAAATCTAATGTAAACTGCCAATCTTTAGTGTCTGTCCCTGTTTACATAGAAACAAGACATTTTTCTTCCTCAGAAAAACACTTCTAAAGAGTTAAAGGCTTTTAATTGCCAGTGCCAAAAAGAGGAAAACAAAACAATCCAACATGAATCTAAAAAAAGAAAATAAAGGAATGAAAGATTACACTTATATATCCTGCATGCTGCTGTGGCTGTTTTTATCTCTGTGCATTCAGAGCTGACTGCAGATAGTACAGTACAAGGTGTTAACTAGAATTGGATTTGGGATTCTCTTCCTGTTGAAAACATCATCACCAAAGTGATTTAATATGCACTTAATATTTGGTGGGATCTTGGAAAGAAGTTTAACTGGTTGAACCTTAAAGCATTTATGAATAGCTGATAGGTATTGGTATTTGTTGAGATTTATGTGTGAAGAAATGGAGCTGAAGCACAAATAAAAGAATAAAGTTCTGGCTTATGAAGGCAACAATAGGTAAAATTATAAAGTCTTGCATCGTCGTCATCGTGTTATGAATTTGCTAACATCTTTGGCAAAACAGAGGGAAACAAAATCAGTTCAAAGGATGATTAAATGCTACATTTTGACTACTATACACTGTAATTACTATAATATATACTTAAAAAATAACTTTGATTGCCCACATGGGCAACTTTTAAATTACAGATTTTTTAAATTACAGTTTTTTTATTACATTTATGTCAAGAATTTGACTAGGACATTCTAATGCATTAATGTGGTTTAAAGGTGAACGCTGTTTTTTTTTACATTGGGCCCTTGATTTTACATTATTACATCATGTTCTACTCACCCATATTTTGTGTCATTTGGAGCTGTTCTGAAGATATTCCGTTTTCCTATGGGCAACGACTTGAAGGCACAAACTAAACTGTTCACAATTTATTCTTTATGGTACGCCAGCATTCATAACATGTAGGCGAATCACTGTCCCCCAGACGGTTATATTTTTTATATTTATATGTTTTAAAAACAAAGCGCCGTGTGTATGACGTCATCAGCGCGCGCCGGCTACCATTTATTCATCCTGTCCGCTGAACTGCAGCTAGTTTTACTCACATGCCTGGAAGATATCTAGTGCTTCTACCACAGATGATCTCGCTCTCCAAATGGAATTGAACGATTCAGGTTAGCTAGCCGAATGAATAGAAGGAGTAGAGCGTAGCTGCCTGTGGCCCGGGCTGCCTGTTACAACTCCAGTCCGGCGAGCGGATGATGTCATACACACTCCGCATTGTTTTTAAAACATATAAATATGAAAAATATAACCCCGGATGTCTGGGGGACAGTGATTTGCCTACATGTTAGGAATGCTGCCGTACCATAAAGAGTAAATTATGAACAGTTAAGTTTGTGCCTTCAACTCATTGCCCATAGGAAGACGTTACTTGAATATAACCTAACAGAATATCTTCAGAACAGCACCAAATGACACAAAACTCATATGGGTGAGTAGAACATGATGTAATAACGTAAAATCAAGGGCCCAATGTAAAACAAAAAACGGCGTTCCCCTTTAAGTTCACCCCTTCTCTAGAAATTATCACTGTAAATGAGGGGTTTTGCTGCTTGAGACCCCCAGCAACAATCACAAGATTCCTATGCATTTTGCTAGCTTTTATTATTTTGACTTTCTTCCTACATAGCTCATAGAATAAAAGCAATTGGAACTTATGTTTCCTTTTTTTTATCAGCTGCTTTTGCTTCTTGCCACTCAAAGTTTGGAAAAATGTCTTTTTCCTGTCAACATATTTT